TTTTTTTTTTTAGTATTTCGAAAAACAATTCTTCTCTTATACTAATCAATAGTTTTTGGATTTCTATCGCAAGGTGACACTTTCATAAATATGTTACAATGTCAAATGTAATAATTTATCAATTCTTTAATCTATAACTGGCTGAAACTAAATTTATACTTTCATGATATTAATTTCTAAGTTATAACTGCAGTGATGTATATTAAATAGAAATTTATGTCGAGAAAAGTTGTGTAGTCAGAAATCGAGTTAAGCACTGATCGTCGCTTCAGAGTAATCGCGCAACATATAAAAATTTTCACTCGTTTATTATTTCAAATTGCAAAGAATATATGTATTATTTAACTATCTTTTCCGTTATTGTAAATAAAATAATTTAATTATTATAAAATTATGGAAACTATGAATGCTTGGGAATTCAGTCACTGATTCAATTGTCACAAGTAAATAGTTAAAATTGTTAATATACAAAAATATCATCGAAATGCATTATTTTACAGTTTGAATAATTCATTTGAAACAATTAAATTACTTTTACAATATTTCTAGACGTTATTCAATAATTTTCACAATTTTTATTATATTTTTACGATTAAACAAATAAATTAATCATTTTATTCAATAAGTCAACGTCATCTCTCTTAAGTACATTGTTCAAGATTCTTATAAATTATTAGTTAAAAATTTTAAATAGCAACATTAGAAACATTACAGACGAGAATATTGTTTAATTGTTACAAATAAATTATTGGAAATATTAGATAATGTTTAAACAATTAGAATATTAAAAAATATTATTTAAAACACACTCCTAAATTTTTGTCGATGTACACACGACGGAAGTTCAATTGGTAATGAGTCTCCGTACCGCTGAAGGTTAATCTAATGTTCCGATCGTCAGTGACCCGGGACTGTTGATAATTTTTTTTTACTTCTTCGAAACCATTTTTCTATTATACTAATCAATAGTTTTTGGATTTCTATCGCAAGGTTACACTTTCATAAATATGTTACAATGTCAAATGTAATAATTTATCAATTCTTTAATCTATAACTGGTTGAAACTAAATTTACACTTTCATGATATTAATTTTTAAGTTATAACCGCAGTGATTTATATTAAATAGAAATTTATTTCGAGAAAAGTTATGTAGTCAAAAATCGAGTTAAGCAGTCGCTTCAGAGTAATCGCGCAACATATAAAAATTTTCACTCGTTTATTGTTTCAAATTGCAAAGAATATGTTAAAAATTTTAAATAGAACTTAGAAATGTTATAGAAGAGAATTTATTGTTTAATTGTTACAGATAAATTATTAGAAATATTAGATAATATTAGAACAATTAGAATATTCAGGAATGTTATTTAAAACTCACTCCCAAATTTTGGTCGATGTGGACACGACGGAAGTTTGATTGATAATAAGCCTCATTACCGCAAGGTTAATCATATGTTTCAGTCATCAGTGATCAGGAACAATTGATAATTTTTTTCAAACTTCTAAATTTTTGTCGATGTGCACACGACGGAAGTTTAATTGGTAATGAGTACAGCTCAAGGTTAATATATATTTCGGTCGTCAGTGATCCAGAACATTTGCCAATATTTTTCAAACTTCTAAAATTTGATCGAAATTATATTGTTGATGATAACATCATATTTCAATAAATTTTTTTCTAATACTTTTAAATAGATGTTAATAGTCAAATATATACTAAATTTTTCATCTGAATTTTTATCAATCTCTGTTTTAAATCGTTATATTGCTTCATTGATGAAGTACCACCATGTTCAATTAAATGAATAATTTTCGAAATAAAACTGGCAACTCTGTCCATATTTTTTGATTTTCGCGGTACAAAACTTGTCTGAATCGGTACGACAGGATGCGATGCAAAAATGGTAACACTGACCCCGAAATTGTTGGCCGAAAAAATACATTGGATGCTAGGTTTATTCATATATCTCGTCTGTAATAATATGGAAAACGTGGCCAGAGTTCTTCTGATATATAGTAGAATGATTTCGGTTAGTTACTAGCTTCACGGAATTGAAAATTTGACAACACTGTAATGGATTTCAAAAATATCATTAGGCGCATTTACTGCTTGATCAACTTCGATCGGTTTACTTGCTGTAGTTCCTATACTCACCGTTGTTTAACGTAGAGTGCGCTAAAAGTCCAGTGACTTTTTACTATGTCGGTATTTCAGAGCATGGGAGACGAAATCCTATAGGATGCTTCGTCTATTCCTATATCTCGTCCGTGCCTAATCTTATATAATAACGTTTAATATTCGTTTTAAATATTCGAAAGGCCAGCGAAATGAGTAAAGTAAAGGAACAGTTTCGAGTTTAGCTGGACGCGTTTTTTCTTTCCGTGAAACACGAAAATGTGATCTTACTTTCTTTCGTGCGAACTTACAAATCAATTATTTATGCAAAGTATTAATATTGTGCTTAAAATATATTTACGAAATATACTTCGACTATTTACGATGTTCATATTTTTCTATAGACGTTCAAATACTTTAGCAAGCCGCTGCGTAAGTAAATGCATGAATCTGCGCATCCCCTCTCCTCTCGTTCGTAAACTGCACTGGAAGTATACCTACTGCGCTCCGATCAGTCGATTGGCGCGGCGGCGGTTCAGTTTGTGTCGGTCGCTCGCACGGTCGCATAGGGGGGATTGTGCTGTCGCGAACTGTGTGCCGTACAACGCCGGTTTCTCAACGTTTCAATTTCACGTGATTTCGATTCGACACACGACGGGTGTAGTCGTTGCATTGACGTTTCCCTGTGGTATGTGAAGATACCGCGTCGGAGTCTGCGCGCGGGCAGCGCGGACGAATCGCGTCGCGGGCATGCCAGCCCGCTGAATAGCCAGCTCACGTGTTTATTTGAATTTTTGAAAATTCAAGCCGAGTGGTGTCGATTGGTGTAGGAGTGTGTATGGTTTGCTCTCGGTGCAGAAGCTGCTGGTCAGACCCGACACGGTGCATGCTTGTCTTCGAAAACGTTGGCAGAGCCAGCGGAATGTGGCACGAGGTGAGTTAGCAGCCCGCCCGGTTTCGCCGTGGCCCCAGGGACGGATCTCCGCGGGCCCTTTTCCTTTTCTTTCCCCGTTTTCGCGCTTCCTTTTAAACCTTCTTTGTCGTTCGGCATTATTTCTTTTTTAATCGAGATGCAGTCGACTTCGCGTGAAAATTTAAAAACGAAATTGTACGGAGATGCGGGATATTTGTTCGTGTGAATCTAACATTTACGATTTTCGTGCGTCTCCTGTTATCCTAGTATTAGAACACCTGCTGGTCTCGATTATCGGGAATATGATCGATCGTGCAGAATTTTATGTTATATATTTGTACGAAGTAACGATTCGAAATAGGTAATGAAAATTATTAGATTGTAGAAAAATAATGCACTGACTTCGCAAACTTTACAAAAGTCGTTGTTTGAAGTAAAGTTAGGAACATCTGGCTAAAATTCAAATCTGATGCGAATTCAACCGAGTGATGCAACTAGTAATTTTGACTGGTTTTACTAATTCAACAACCTAACGATTATTCAGATCCACATAATTTCTCGTGAAGATCTGTTAATAAAAATATATGCTTGTAGTTTTAGAGTAAAAAAGTTTGCAGTTACAATATACTTTTTACAAAAGTCAAAGTTTAATATAAAAATTTATTTAATACAAAAGTTAGAGTAAGAAGTTGATCGTTGGAGAAGTCATATGATCAAAATACCGATAGTTATGGTCATAACTATTGTTCTTGATTTCACTCTTATTATTGGCCTTTCGTTGGCCTATTGTCACACTGCTGACGTAATAATTTTTACTATTCTAAGCTTTCGAAAATATTTAAAAAATTTCGATTACTTGACGAAATCTTTAATATGTTTCGCAATTAGATCTTAAATCCAATATTAATAAAAATTTAATTTCGAAAAATTTTCGAAATTTTATTTGTGGCATATAAAGGAATTGAGGGACAGTGATGTTAATTCGAATATTTGAAAAATTTTTGTAATTTATTTACTATACATTATTTCACTATTACATTATGTAACAGTTGTGTGCAATTGGCAGTCGTAAACGAGTTTCGTTTGAAATATGCTATCGTAACGAAAAGAGTAGCAACGTTCCGAGATACGATCGATAAATACGTTACGCGCCGACTACTTGTGCGACTTGAAGATTGTTCTTTCGTTTCGAGAACATTATAAAGATGTAAATTAACATAATCGTAGATTCACTTTCTGAACGCTTCATTGATTAAAGCTTTTTTTCTTTATTATAAAAAAGAAGAATAACTACTTAACAAGTTATTTAAAGAACGAAACAGGTTTTAGATATTCATTTCAGAGTAATCGGTAGATGATTCTCAAAGATTTGTTATACATTAATGAAATATCTTTAATTTAGTTGCTTTAGTTCAAAAATTTTTTAAAATTTTTATACTTGCCCAAAGTTACCAGTTAAGACCAATGTATATTCAATGAAAATATATAAATTGTAAAATCATAATGATTAAAATATTAAACAGCATACCCCATATTTAATAATATACATTTAAAAATGCTAAAAGTTAAAAGAAATCTAAACTTCTAACAACTTTTAGCATTATTAAGATAATTGATAATTCTATATCTTTAAAATGATTCGAAACAATCAAATACAAGTATTTCCGTAATTAATATTAAATTACATCATTTACTTATTTTCTTAAATGTAAAGCTGCATCGTCTCTCGGTGTTTGAAGTAGATTGTTATTAATCTAAAGAAGTTAGAACAAATACATTGGAGTCCAAGGACACAAGAATTTATGCCCGTTTCATTGTGTGTTTAGACAAATAGTTCGCAGATAGCATAAATAATGAGGTCACATGCGAGATTAGCTTGTTCCTTACGTAATTACCATAACTTCATTTTCTTTGCTGAGATATATTTCATATATCTTTCATGTATTAAATACTTATCTTTCTAATCATCCGGGTCTCAACTTGTTAGTCCAATTAGCACTAATACATTTTAAATTCTATTTACTCTAAAAATATAACATAAATATCATATTTAATTTCAAATTTCATATTTAGAATAAATTTCTATTTATTCTAAAACTATGACATAAATTTCTTAATGACAACGGATATTATAATACTAGTGTAGTTAATATAAATTAATAACAATAGTTATTTCAAACGTTGAGTGTCAAATTTGGTACACGGTGAACCTTATTTACAAACCGAATGTGGTTTCTGCTTTATGCTTTAACTTTCTCGTTATTTTTATATACTTTCAATACGAATAAAGTTTTTTCTTTTGTATTTTTTAACATTAGGTAAATTTTAAGCTCGCGAAAAGTTAAAAAAAAATATATATATAATTTTTACATGCTTCCCAAACTTTGGTACATGGCATTTCATCACACGCTGTTGAATCGTTGCTTTAAGATTTAATTTGTTCAAATTCTAGATCGATTTTCATTGGAACGCGATTTTTCCGTGCCCTCTCGTCGATAAACTTGATTTCGTAGATTACGTTTTTCTCTCGATGCATTTCTCGCTGTACGACGAAATTGCAAAAGTACAGAAACGAAACCTGGAACGTTCTACAACATTAAAAAGACAAGTGTATTTGTTGCACGATCGTGAATCCAATATGTTAAGGCGGACTCGACCTTGTCTAGCAATTACGTTAATCTGTTTTAAAGATTAAAGGTGTAAGTGTATTATTATTCCTTTAGGGGATCGATTGTGTAATCCGTAAAGTTGTCCTGAAAGAAAAGATGCTTTTAAGACGCTGTGTATTAAACAACATGTAGGACATGCGGGATCCGTTCGTTGTCATACATGTAAATAACTTTCCATTTTTATCTTGTCACTTAATTGAAAGTACGAATAGATACACGGGTTATTTCATTGCATCTGTTATTTGAACAAACATTCGAACCAGTGATTCAAAGTACGTAGTTGTGCAACAGTTTTCACTTCGGTAAGACTCAAAGATTCGTCTAGAAGAAAACGGAACAAAATATATGTGTATATAAAATAGAAACAGAATACATGTGAATAAGAAAGAAACAGAATATATAAGATTGTGAACGTGCAAGTGATGAGAAGATGACGTTTTGTAAGCTTGTTAATATTAGATTTTGAAATTTCATATCGTTGGAAATTTACTTCGACGACATACGTGTGAGGAAACACGATCGACACACACACACACACACACACACACACACACACACACACACACACACACACACACACACACCACAGTGAAAAAGATATCGAATGAGGGCAAGGAGAGTTTCTCGATTCAATTAACGTAGAATCGGAGGAAACAAAAGTACACTGTCAGTCGTAGGTTGAACACTGCTGATGAAGGTATACGAAGGTTGTGCTGTAGCAAAGGCACTCCTTAGTTCTGGCTCAAGGTCGGACTATTAAGAGGCTAAAGCACACTCGACGGGTTTACGTCGTCGTTACGAAGAACGACTCGCCGCCACGCGGAGTTTGAGTTAGGAAATAGTGAAAACGGCGAAAACCCAGGGGAACTAACTATACGCATGGTCAATCGTGAGCTGCTTCTTCGTATATTGCGATTACGTTCGCTACGCGATGTCCTTTTTTAATTGCATTCTCCTTTTGATGTATATTGCTCCATTAACATAATCGTTTTTTTTTTTTTTTTTTTTTTTTTTTTTTTTTTTTTTTTTTTATCGAATCTTGGAGATTATAATGGACAGATGCTGCGTTGTATTTGGTTTTATTTTTGAATTTGCCGCGCCGTTATAAATATGTAAGATTGAAGAAATGAGATACGTAGTACAAATGTCAGAAATTGTTATTATTTAAAAAGAAAATGACAGTTTTTAACAAGATATTTATATACCTTGATTATTCTTGTTGAAGTTGTTAATCAAAATTTGTTAAAATCTGTTTCATGTATATTACGTATAATGGTAATGAAAGTTTTAGAGATGTTTCACTTTCTTACAGTAAATTCAAAGTTACTGGAAAATTGTATTTTTTAAATAAAATCATACAATTCTTTTTTGTGAACGTAAGCAAGAGATATCAATCTTCGCTTTACAAGAGAGTTCTTCATAATTAATTAATTTTTTTCAGAATTCGAATAGAAAGGCATTATTACGCGAAATGTTTTTGGCAAAGTTCACAAAAGCAATTTTTAATGTTAGGCGAATAAAGTTAACGTGACAATTGTTCTATGTTTTATATTTGCAAACATCGAAACAATATCCTCGCTGCTGAATATGTGGCACTATTTCGGATCATCTTTACCTAATCCAAAAAGAATTACATGGTTCTGTTTACTTAAAAAAAAGGTGATTTTGAATTTACCATAGATAATTTTTAATTGAATTGTACTTGTAACAAATAAATTTTGGTTAGCAACTTTCTTTTTGCTACATCTTTGCAAGCACCAAAAGTTGGTGCAAACATTTTTACGCAAACTTTTACAACTCCTCCTGGCTGTTTATTTATTCTTAACTTTCTCTCGTTTCAGTTATTTTGTGTGTTTTAAGTCCTTGATTCTACGACGTATAATATCAAGCAAGAAACATTTCGTATTTTATCACCAAGTAATATAACGTATAACATTCTATTTTTGCGTTATTAGTCACTAGTTATTAGTCGTTACTGGGTCATAAATGCACGCTAAATTCCACTCGAGTCTCTCGTTGCAGTAATCGCAGATGGCGTTCGATAGTTTTAATTAATCCTCGAGAGAAACAAATGTTAATGAGAGCTGGATGAGGTTCTGTTCTTATTTGTTTTGAACTTGCGGTTGAATGGCGGCTATTAGCGTTCGATGCTTCTTGTAATTCACGGAGAGTCAAGAAAGGATATTTATATAGGGTATCTCGGTAATTGCGGTAAACGAAATAACTTTATACATATTTTATATGAAAAAGAAGTTGAAAAAATGGAATTAATAATCTTTAGGTTTTGTTCTCGAGGAAATCAACTTTGACGTGTAAAGGTCTAAATTGTTTCAGATTATTTAAGAAATTGAA